CCATAACTTACTTTTGTCAGGAATACTACCCAGTATTAACTGTGGGGATGAAGTTATAAGTAGGTCACTAGGGCAAAATGCTAGGCTTAGATTAGTATGTAAGGATCAGCAGATTGGCTGGTTGAACTTGTGGGATCATGTTTATGTTAATATCTTTCATGTTAATGTTTGTATCAAGGTTGTAAAGTCTTAAACATTAGTTACTTGTTTGTTGTTAAGCACACAGCTACACAAGAAGCTACCTGTGCTCTGCCCACCATTGGTATCAAAACCCAGTTGTTAGCATTTTAAGCCTTCAGACTTACTGCTGAGCCACTGGAGGTTGAAGCATTGTTTATATTACATATTTTCATAATTTGAACAGAATCCACAATTTAAATATGTGGAGTCTTAGAATGGAATCACATCACCTTTAATATCAGGAAACTCTAAGAAGGTATGATGACAAAAACATTAATCTTATGTTCTCATTAATTGACAACTATAATGAAATCCAAGTAATTTTTTAAGTTAAAGACAACTTGTCTTAATTGCCATATTTTTAAAAAAATTACAACAACAATGGTTGTATACACTGGCTCATCACCAGTTAATCCAAAGACTAAAATCTGTTAAAATTTTTTGTTGGATAATTTTTCTTCCACTGAGAATAGATTTAAATTTCTCTGAAAATTATATGGAAAATCATGAAAAAGTTTCTACTAAAAGCATGACTTTACCACGCTTGTATAAGAATAAAGCAAAAATTATCAATAATAAGGTGGAAAATATTCGAAATTGTAGTGAAATATCATTGAATGAAAACAAGTGGTGTATAATGGCTGGAGATGGCTTGAATGGGTAATGAAGAAAACTTTAATATATGTTTAACATAACAGCAAATGTACAACGTTTTGACAAGGTTTTGTCATCATCAGGTACAAATGGTGTATGTTAAAAATTAAATTGGATTTTTTTATACTAAATTCCAGTATCATAAAAATAAAATATTGTTGTTGAACAATTTATATCAAGAAAGTACTGTTTGTTATATAGTATGAAACACCAAACATGCAAAAAGTGAGAATTAAAAAGGTTTATAAGTATGTGTTTTTTATAAGTCTGGTCCCATAGGGAAAAATACACATTGTATTCTTAATTTATTTATTATTCAAATTACATGGCATTAACAGCCATACACATATCAATTTTTGGTATGCTGTGCCATCAGGGTATTTTCTCTCCTGAAATATGCACAACTGACATTAGAAATGTGTTTGTTTAACTTTAAGAATATAATGTCTATTTTCCCCTATGGGTCGAGACTTCTGGGATACCCTGTAAATTACTAAAATCAATTACTATTTTGCTTGTTTAGTGTTAAAGCATAAAGCTATAAAATGAGTGAGCTATCCACACTGTGCCCACCATGAATATGTAATCCTAATTTTTTAGCAGATATGCCCTCAAACTTACCTCAGAGTCAATGAGGAACATCTGTTACTAATATCAAGAAAAAGCACAACAGTTGTTTTAAAGAGAAGACCAAGTAGGGTATTAAGTTTGAATCATAATCATCTACATGAAATTCTCTCATAGTTATGTACCCAAACAAATTAGAATAACTTTTTAAAATTATCCTATTTGCATATGTAAAAATCTTATTTTTCTATAAACAACAGTACCCTCTTCAGGCTAAATGTAAATGTCTGTCATTTGTTTCTTTTGATTCCACTAACCTGAAAGCTGTATCAAACAATTACATATTTTTTTCTATGTATACTTGAATAATAACTCTGACAAGGACTTGTAGTCACTGATTTAGTAAGTCCTCTTTCACTTTGTTTCTTCTTGTTTTTACATATATGTTGATATAACAAAAACATGTAACTAATCAATCACTAAAATAAACTTGATTTCTTACAAAAATAGACATACTTATCAACACTGTTTCAAGTTACTAATACCAAAATAACAAAAAAATAAAAATAATACACATAATATTGGTATAACTCATAATGAATTAACACAAAAATCTGTATGCTTTGAAATAAATTAGAAAATTAAATCACTTACAAGATAATCCTAGGCAGTCAGAAACCAAGGGCGTAATGAAAATTCAAGGACAAAAAAGTAAATAAAGGCACGTGGTTAGTAAAAAAACAAGCCTGAAGATCATGCAACAGACTACTGGGTTAGACACATAGTTACTAATAATCAAATAAAGATACAAAAAACAAAATCCTAAAGAGAAGAGAGAGCATAATACATTGCTTAACGTATTTAGTTTGATTACACATTCCTTTACTGTAACTTACAAGTTTTTATTAATAATTACACTGTGATTCTTTAACTCATAAAACCTAAAAACTTTTACATATGCCACTATAAAGCCAGTTCTGAGCAGTTTAATAACAAATACAGTTTGTAATTGTTATACCACCTAAAGTACACACGTTGTTATTCATGGAAAGTAGGGGAGTCCTGAATACTTGGATAACTGTAATGGTTCGATTCAATGACCTTACTCATTCAAAACTTTCCTTCTATTTTATACCTAATCTTACTCATACTGCCACATGTGTCTTGTGTCAAACTCCATTACAGCCAAAATACACTCACTTTGCTGTACCACATGTGGCACATAGTGGAAAAAATGTAGATACCTTAAAGTACACAAGAAAATATATATATCAAAAGAGCATGCCTAAGAATTTATTTCCTGTATCATTCTGTACATATATGCCAAGGCATTTATCTTAGTATGTCAGCATGTCTGAATTATTTCACCTATTTTGTTCTAAAATATAAAAAAAAATTAATAATCTCTTTGTTTTTTAATGCACAAATGAATATTCAAAACTCAATAGAAATGAAACAATAAATTTAATTAATAAAGTGATCTGTGTCAACTCCACAAATATATAATGGAATGTTCTTAAAACTTCATAAACTTAGTTAACAGGTTACAAATCAGTTAGAAAAATTTCAAACTGCAACATCCCTACTTAAACATAATAATTACTTTTAATGGATAATGAGTAAAGATGGTACCCATTAAAACTGCATGAAATTGAGGTATATCATAACCCATCAATCTCAAAAGGATGGTCAAGTGGTTAAACTTGCTAGCTATTGTACACAGTCAACATATGATAACTGTCTTTCAAACAACCATATAAACTAAACATTAAATTCAAATAATCAATCCGATGTGAGAACATGGTTTAACAAACCCAAAGTGTTGCTTGATTTCACATGTATGTATAACTATGACAGATTAAACTTAATGGCATCAAAAGCTGTAAATAAATTCATAAAAAGCCAGAAACTTAATTCCATGCCCAAATTTCCACCTAATGATGTTTTAAAGAGTAAGAAAACTAAGCCTAACTCATCTTCATAAAGAATGAAAAAAAATTCTTCTCATCTCAACCATAATGTGAGCAAATTGTCATTGGTACATTTTTGTTATAGTAATTAATTATTTTTGGACCACTGACATCTCCTGCTTTTCTTCCATTCTCGCAGTGGAAACAACTGACCAAATTGCTTGAATCACAGTAGTATCTAGTTCCAGCTTCATAAAATTCATACATTTTAATCTAGTATTACTAAGTAGTGATTCTCCTTTTGTCTTAGAATTTTGCTTTTCTATATTGTCATTCAGAAAGTTTCATTTTATATCATTATTTTCTTGATACCTCATTTTACTGATTGTAGTATTAATTAGCTATAAAAGCATAAAAACTTGACAAAAACAGCTAAAAATGTGTTGTTGACCTACATTGTGGTATTTGAAAATATCAACCATTACCTTTGGCATGATTTTTGCTAAGAATATTCTTGATCAAAGTTTCTACTCAATAAATAATAAGTTCTTTTTTGTATGCATTGTTGAAATATAATAAACTTAACAATAATATTCAATAAATCAGGATTTGTAGTCAGTAGAATATTTTACTGTTACCTACACTATTTGCTCAACCTAACTAAGCTCACCTGAGTCATAGAAGAAAACTTCTGTAGCTTTCAAATAGATATAATTTAACATTGAAACATTTTCAGGAAGGATAAAAATGTCTAAAAAACTGTAAAATATTCTGAGATATGTGGTTTGTTCCTAAGTCTTCTAAGCTTCCCATTAGATTCGTTTTTGTAAAAAAGAACCCATTTTTAGATAATAAAGTTTGGAGACAGCTTGAATGGGTAATAAAGAAAAGCTTATTACAAATAACAAATGTACAATATTTTGACAAGCTTTTGTTATCATTAGGTGCAAGCAGTTTACAAGACTCTTCTATAGTATATATATATATATGTATATATTCCTATTGTTTATGCAAGTTACTTGTACCTGATGATGACAAAAGCTTGTTGAGACATTGTACATTTGTTACTTGGAATGAAGTTTTCTTCGTTACCCAATCAAGCTGTCTGCAAGTCTTACTAGATTCCTTTGTTCACCACTACAATAGCTCAAGAGTCAGTTTATTGAGAAATCCTAAATTACTGCTCAAACCAGTTTATTTACTCTACACTGATGCAATATACTCTACCCAAGCATATTTAAACACCGCCTGCACTCAGTTTATTTACTCTACACTGATGCAATATACTCTACCCAAGCATATTTCAACACTGCCTGCACTCAGTTTATTTACTCTACACTGATGCAATATACTCTACCCAAGCATATTTAAACACTGCCTGCAGCTATTTTCAAGGCTAAGCTTCATCAGTAATTATTCAGACTACATGCTGTGACATAATAAAACCGTTAACAGAGAAGGAAAATCATATGAGTAACAAGACAAGAGTAATTATATTCTATAAGGATGGTTAGTTTCATAGAAAATATAAACATGTATTTTGGGAAGGACAGAAAAAAATTAATAGATGCAAGAATCATCAAAGCTGAGCTAAAGTTAAAGCAGGAGCTTTTATTTTCATCTTTCTTTGCAACTTTCATAAAATAAATGTTAAAAAAATGACAAAATATGAATTCTAAACCTAAAATATTTAAATATGACAAACATATGTGCTCTGAACATGAGAAATATACACACCAGTGGTAACAGAGTTAAACAGAAATAACTCAACAGTTAGTTTTTAGTCATTTAATTTTTTCTTTTAACTTCTGTGTGACAAGCCTGCTTTATGAAGATATTAAATTTCATAGTTTTTCTCAGAAAAACAGAAAACACAATTTGCTCTTGAATTAAAACTATTTCAGAGCGATATTACCTATTACAGTGGAAAAAAAACTGTAATGATATTATAATAAGCACATTTAATATTGTGATACTAAAATTTTTTTAAAGGATAATTTAAAAATTCTACATTTACCTCTGCATTGTAAAACTTAGTCTTCACATCAAGTGGCTTTGACACCTAAAGAATAAAATATATTTAATTAGAACACTATAAAAATATATAGCCATACATATACTAAAAATCTCTACAAGTAATGTATATATAAAAACTTGAGTACTAAATTTGTGACAAACAAAAGATTCCTTTGTATGATGATAAAAATAAAAATCTATACTATTTCACCAAATTATTATAAAAGACATACAACATATAATGCATTGTTTAAACTTTATGAATTCTTTGTTATGCCAAGTTAACATGAGAATTAATGCATTCTGACTTCATTTCTATAAAAAAAGTGGTTTAAAAAAACCAATCACCAAGGCAGGCAGGATCAAAATATACTTCTTAAGTATTCTTTGCCAGTTATGTGTGCTGCCAGAGAAGGATTTTTTCCTCCATACCAGAGCTTATCACAGGTTTCCAGTCCAATCGGTTATACAATGGACAAAATCATTTCTAGTGTAAAACAAACAGGATACAATTAAAATTATATTACTTTCTGTTTTATCAGAAATCTAAGTTGGACTAAGCCAGGTTTTCTATAAGAGTATGTGGGTGATACCAGAAGATGGGTAACCCTATCAGTATGAGGCGTAATCCACTCTAAGGAGTTTGAGAGGCACACTTCTCTGGAAAATTTAGAAATTCAACATGATCAGAAATAACATTTCCAATATTTTCTGGCTTCTTTCTAAAGAATATGAACAGAAATGCCAACATGAAAAGTTAATAAATGTTTAAATAGACATTAGATATTTTATCTGTTTTACTAGAGTTTTAAAACCCCATTTTGTTTAACACCTTTCACAGAAGTAACATCAACTTGTTCCTTCCATCACTCTGGCAATGCTTTTGAAGTAGGGTGTGTTGCAATTTATCAACTTAATCAGCAACAGTAAGATCACATTTCATTAAACATGGATGAGAAAAAAATGGCCATTAAGCAAACACAACTGATTGTAAGAAAGGGAATATATGGTTGTACAAAATACAGTATACTTTCCCAACTTACACAAATGCTTTAGAAATCGCTTCAGAATCAACTTCAAAACAGCTTTTTTAAGGCAAAGAGGGACTCAAAAAAGGTTGCAGTTAAAGTGATGCTCATGGTAGAAAGGGCATATACAAAACAAGTCAAGTAGATGATTTGTAATTGACCGAAGTAAGCAAGTCATGTACCCGGCACCAGGTGAAAACCCTGAGCTATGCATCCTGGCTGAGTTGGAAACCCTTATTGAAATAGCTTAATCTGGATGAGCTGGAAACCTTTGTTGGGCTAAGTCAATGGTTGAGCTAGAAACACCCGTTTCCTAAGTCGTCGTGGCTGAACTGAAAACCTTTGTTGTGCTAGGTCAACCTGGCTGGGCTGAAAACTTGTGTTGGGCCAGGTCAACCTGGCTGAGTTGGAAACCCTTATTGAAATAGCTTAATTTGGATGAGCTGGAAACCTTTGTTGGGCTAAGTCAATGGTTGAGCTAGAAACACCCGTTTCCTAAGTCGTCGTGGCTGAACTGAAAACCTTTGTTGTGCTAGGTCAACCTGGCTGGGCTGAAAACTTGTGTTGGGCCAGGTCAACCTGGCTGGGCTGAAAACTTGTGTTGGGACAGGTCAACCTGGCTAGGCTGGAAACTTGTGTTGGGCCAGGTCAACCTGGCTAGGCTGGAAACTTGTGTTGGGCCAGGTCAACCTGGCTGGGCTGAAAACTTGTGTTGGGCCAGGTCAACCTGGCTGGGCTGGAAACTTGTGTTGGGCCAGGTCAACGGCTGGACTGGAAACTTGTGTTGGGCCAGGTCAACCTGGCTGGACTGGAAACTTGTGTTGGGCCAGGTCAACCTGGCTGGACTGGAAACTTGTGTTGGGCCAGGTCAACCTGACTGGACTGGAAACCCTTGTTGGACTAGGTCAGCCTGACTGTACTGGAAACAAATGTTGGGTTAAGTCAGCCTGACTATACTGGAAACAAATGTTGGGTTAAGTCAGCCTGACTATACTGGAAACGCATGTTGGGTTAAGTCAGCCTGACTATACTGGAAATGCACTGGCTTGACTGAAAACCCTTGTTGGGCTAGGTTAGCCTGGCTTGACTGAAAACCCTTGTTGGGCTAGGTCAGCCTGGCTTGACTGAAAACCCTTGTTGGGCTAGATCAGCCTGGCTTGACCGGAAACCCATGAAGTGAAATAGAAAATGGCACTGGTGTTACACATAACACAAATATTAAAATTAAATGAAATAGATAATAGTATTACTCAGCAGTAGCTTTACACAAAAATCTAAATCAAGTGAAATATAAAACTTGCCTGAAATTTAAAAAACTTTCTAAAGTGAAGTTTTTCACCATTTTCTTTAGTATAGCTCACAGAGCACACCAATCTGAAATGAAAAGTAAACACAGCAGTTGTTTGAAATGCCTTTAAACACAAAGTAAGAAATAGCAAACACTATGATTATTTTGAATTCCTTAAAAAAGAAAGATAAATACTGTGAACACTGTGATTTGTTTGGAATTCCTTTAAACAGAGAGTAAGAAATAGCCAAGAATGAGACTGTTTGGAATTCCTTTAAACAGAGAGTAAGAAATAGCTAAGAATAAGACTGTTTGGAATTCCTTTAAACAGAAAGTAAGAAATAGTCAAGAATGAGACTGTTTGGAATTCCTTTAAACAGAGAGTAAGAAATAGCTAAGAATAAGACTGTTTGGAATTCCTTTAAACAGAGAGTAAGAAATAGCCAAGAATGAAATTGTTTGGAATTCCTTTAAACAGAAAGTAAGAAATAGCCAAGAATGAAATTGTTTGGAATTCCTTTAAACAGAAAGTAAGAAATAGCCAAGAATGAAATTGTTTGGAATTCCTTTAAACAGAAAGTAAGAAATAGCCAAGAATGAAATTGTTTGGAATTCCTTTAAACAAAAGGTGAGAAATAAGAGTCAGTAATAAGGCTATTTAGAATTATATTAAGCAGAGAGAAAGAAACAGTCAACAATTAGACTGTGTGAAATTATATTAACAAAGAATGTGAAATAAAGTCAAGAATGAGATTGTTTTTAATGCCTTTAAACTGGGACTCAGAAACATATTCAAGATTACAATTGTTTGGAATTCCTTTACACAAGTATTGAGAGACATAGTCAACATTACAAGTGTTTGGAATTCCTTTATACAAGTATTGAGATACATAGTCAACATTACAACTGTTTGGAATTCCTTTAACCCGATGACCACTGGCTACTAACTGTCTGAGTAGCTAATGCAAGTCTTGCTATATTTCATTTCAACAATAAAACTAGTGGATGAAATTGTTTGAAACTTCACAAGAACTTTCATAAATGCATGTAGTTTAAGGAACATAAAGCCTGTTACTTTTGATAAATTTAGTATTTTTGCATTATGATCTTTAATATCTTGGAATATTACATTAGGAAATGGTATTTATAAGAAATTATTATGATATTTATATTTGTTCCAGATTTGAACTTATTACTTTTTATGTTTTGGTACATTATTTTAAAATCCCCCAAAATTTTTATCGTCCATAAAATGCAAATTTTATCTATTTTTAGTTTTTTTAATAATCACGTACTCTCCTTATGGTTTCAAGTAATATACAAGTCCCAAAAATAATACTTCTAAATAAACCTAAACAATAAATTAGTATTTTTATTTTTAACTAGGATTTCATGTATGTACATAAAAAACATTTTAATTTTGTTTCATAAATGTATTTTTATTTCAAGTTTATGTTTATGTTTCATGGCAGCCATACTTTTGTTTATTGTGCTGAATAAATCGTGAGGTTAGCAGCATGAACTTTGTACATTTGCTGTAAACTATCATGCCTGTTGGTGGTCACTCTCATTCAGTCCAGCACAGGCACATTTCAACATTACTGTAGATATGATAGTAAGAAAGCTTTTCAGTACTTGAATATCATTTCTTTGAGCTTTCAAACAAGTTTATTTCAACATATGTCCTTGTATGTTGTTTCACTATACAGACAAAACTAATTGCCACTACTTGCGATTGTGTGTAATAGTTTACAGTACAGGTGGTTTGAATAACACCACTTGACCCTAGTTACTTGACACATCCTGTTAGAAGAGATTACCAAACGATACAGACACAATAAATTACAAAGAAAATTACTTTACAGCACTTAAAAGATTAGTCCTGATCACATTCCTCTAATTATAGGCAAGATGTATGTTGGAATTCAAAACATACCCTTCTGTGAGAATGTCATAGCTTCCCTGTATTATTGAGACAAATCTATTTAGTGTATTTCACAACCAACATATGGGTTTTATTGTTGTCACTTGTACACTGAGTTTTAAACCATTTACAAAATATCAGAATAAACTTTATATATATATCGATTAGACTGTTTTAATTCTAAAGCAACAACAACAGAAGTGTGGGTCTTACTAGTACTACAAAGTAAAGATTGTACGAAGGAAAAATATAAAATTCTTATGTGGTACTGGTACTAATAGTATTACATACAAATCACACAAGTTTACCATTCTAAATACTGAATCATATTATTATTATTATGAACTAAATATAAAGTTATGCTAAATTATTCAACTTAAAACTGCTAATTTAAATGCAAAAGAATATAAAAAATCACAAACTCTTTCAGTTCAAAGTGCTAAGCCTAATTCCTGTAAAGCCCTTGCACTCGCCACTCGATAGCTCTTAACCCTAACAATTGTGGATCAACTTCTTTCCTAAAAAATATGTCTATTTTGAGTTAATTTTTCAATATAATGATTAATATAAGTAGATATATGATACAGCATGACTTAAGCTACTATAGAAAAATAATAAAAGTCACATACATCCCATGCAGTTTTTCCAGAAGCAAGTTTTCTAAGGTTTATAGAAAAGTACTATTGACCAATACTAAATACAATTTCTACATAAAACTGCAGTTACTATAATAAGCACCACCCACATTCATATTATAAAATTCAGAGAACAACGTTTCATCACGTGCTTTGCTTTTCATCCTATGATTTGTCAACCGTGAAATACAGCAATTGGAATAACATGGTACTGAAATTGACACCTTCGATTAGGATTGGCTAAAAGTTTAACTTAACAACTGAGGTTTAACATGCCCAGATGCTGTTTTATAAAGAAAACAGACTATAAAAAGGTTTAGATACCAATCGTAAATGGCAGAACCAGAGCTAAAGTGGAAGGAAAAATTTTTTTTTAATTTTGAAAAAAAATTTTCTTCTTTGAGGGCACTCAAATGTATTTTGTGATTTTTTTGTTATTAAATTTCTCTTTAAACTTCATTAAATAATACAATTTTGTACAAATAATTGAATGTTATGCTACTATTTACAAAAATAAAATCTGAAATCCAATAAAAGATAAGTTCTCTATAATTTTTTCAATTCACAAATATGATTTTGCTCTCAGGATAAGACAAAATGGCTACGGCAGGTAACGGGTTAAACAAATAGTGAGAAACATACTTAACATTACAACTAATTGGAAATCCTTAAAAATAGTGGGAAACATAGTCAACATTACAACTGTTTGGAATTCCTTTAAACAAATAGTGAGAAACATAGTAAACATTACAACTGTTTGGAATTCCATTAAACAAATAGTAAGAAACATAGTAAACATTACAATTGTTTTAAATTCCTATAAACAAATAGTTGTGAACATTACAACTGTTTGAAATTCCTTTAAACAAATAGTGAGAAACATAGTTAGCACTGTGGCTATCTGAAAGTCCTTTAACTTTATCATGATCAGATGGGTGCCTAAATTGATCATAAAATGTATGACTGTAACCAATGGGAAGACCTTGCTTTATGATGTTGCAGTATCATAAGAAATGTTTTTCATGGAACAAGATGAGGTAGGCTTGGTTAAGTCATTTTGCACTTCACTGTATCAGGTTTTGTTTCACCAACAAGATCGCTGTAGTAGTGTGTGTTTACATTAAGCCTTATCAGCCTAAGTATCTACTTTAATGGGCAAAGAAAATCACCAAAAAAGTAATTTAAAAAACATATATATCTATGACTATAAAAAGTTTAAAACTTTAATGAACTGCAACTGCTTGTTGAAAGAATAGGAGACAACATTCTAGCTTCTATAGCAAGGCCTGCTTCAGGTCACTATAGGTACTTGTTTAGTGTCTTATAAAGGTAAGCACTGCCATGTGATAAAACTCAGGCTATGTGGATTAAGTGGATATGGTGATTGGCAGGTGTTGTCAACAGGACTATGACATCATCATATTATGTGTAGAGTTTGTTCAGGGTGGGTGTCCAGTGAAGAGCATCATACTTATGTTGTTGTTTTTATATATGTACTAATGTTTTGCTTCTACTAATTTTAACTGACATATCTAGTTTCTAAAATATTTAAACATGTGAAATGACTAACTTCATCAATGGTACAATGCTTATGATCTTTTCTATAAAATGTAATCTAATTAGTCCAGAAATATGAAGCTATCTATTTTGCTTTTATACACCTGATAATGAGATTAGATATTAAAAATCACAGTTTATGGTACTTCCACTTTATTAAATGTATAATTTTTATATCACAGACAATAAAGTAAAACACTCTTTTGACATTTTAAACTTAAGAGAAAATTTGTATAAGAAGTTAATATTCAATTTAAAAGTAAGCTGCTAATGTTAAGTTTTATTGTTCATTGAAATACTCCAGTTCAGAGAAATCACTTGAATCATACTGACCTTAACAGGTTAAAATTCTTCTCATAAATAAATAATATCTTTTCTTTTCAATAGCTCTACACACATTATGGACTGTGTAAGTGTTCCAGGTTCTACATCATCAATACTGATATTTTGTTAGAAAACTTCAAACCAGACTCAGACATCAGGGGGAACATCAATTTGAAGATAATAACAAAAATGATAAAACTGCAACTTACATGTGAGAACCAATTTCTTTAACCTCATGATGTATGACATCATCCACACTTGAATCTGACATAAGTTCAGCTACAATGTTCTCTCCACTTTGACACATCAATGGTATTTTTTGAGTCCCAGTCTGCAGATCAGCCTAGAAAATTATAAAAATATTATGACATTTCTTGTAATCTTCAAAACAGCTGCTACTCACTTTCTAACATTTGAATATTTAACCATAAACTGTTTATATTTACTGAAGCAACTTTATAATATCAATGTTAACCACACATTACAATAGTTGGATAAGAACCCACCTACTCACTCAACAAGGGGAAGGAAATTTCTTATTATTTTGCAAGCAATCAATGGAATTGTCTACTTTTCATTTGAAAGATCAGTAGAACTTTAATATAGAATAATCTAGGTTCACAAAATAAAAAAATCATATTCTACGAAAACAACAGTTTGAAAATTTGGCAAAATATCAACATCAGAATGGGCTTATTACACCACAATAGATTTGTCACTGTTTTCTTATTCATAATCAAAATCACAGCTACTGGTTCCATGGTTTCTTAAATAAGATATGAAAAAAAATATTTTTAGTCCTCTAAAAACATTAAACTGAATATGCTATCATAAATAACACTAAAAAACTAACTATCCCAAACAAATTTAAAATTTAATAAGTTATTATAAATAACATCAAAAATTAGTTATCCTAAACAATATTAAAACTTAATAATGTTACGTCTCTGGTCGTTTGTTAATTTCCGGTATAAATTCTTCGCGAGGAACTTCAGCGATACAAGTCCTTTCTTAAATAGAACTAGTTTATTCTTTCTCAATACAACTTTGCAATACACGGAATTTCCACGGTCACTTTCACTTAAACACACGCTTTAATTTACAACGATTCATGCACTTTACTTACGGTCACTATCGCTCACCTGACTCAATTATTTGTCTCTATATCTCTCTATCTGCAATTATTATCTCAGCTTTATTTGGCGGGCTTATATATTAAAATAGAGGGCACCTAGAAAAGATTAGGGTTGCCACGAACAGTCATGATCCTTCTAGAAACTCCAGCGCGCATGCTTCCAGCATCGCATGACTTCCGCTGTCATAAAAATATGTATCCTAAATAACACTAAAAATGAACTACCCTGAACAACACTAAATCTTAATACATTATTTTAAAAAATATTGAAACAAAACGAGTTAACCCAAGTAACACTAAGGTTAATAAGTTATCCTAAATAACACTAAAAATTAGTTATCCTAAACATTATCAAAACTTAATAAGTTATCATAACACTAGAAATTAGCTATCCTAAACAATATTAAAACTAAATAAGAAATCATAAATTACATAAAAATTAGTTATCTTAAACAATATTAAAATTTAATAAGTTATCCTAAATAACACTAAAAATGAACTCTCCTAAACAATATTAAAACTTATTATGTATCCTAAATAACCCTAAAAATTAGCTATCCTAAACAATATTAAATCTTAATAAGTTTTCGTAATTAACACTAAAAATGAACTCTCCTAAGCAATATTAAAACTTAATAAGTTATCATAAATAACACTAAAAATTAACTGTCCTTAACAATACCAAAACTTATTATGTATCCTAAATAACACTAAAAATGAACTATTCAAAACAAATTAAAATTTAATATGCATCCTAAATAACACTAAAAGGTACCTATCCTAAACAATATTAAAACTTATTATGTATCCTAAATAAAACTAAAAATTAGCTATTCTAAACAATATTAAAACTTATTTATGTATTCTAAATAGCACTAAAAATTAACTATCCTAAACAATATTAAATCTTAATAAGTTTCATAATTAACACTAAAAATGAACTATCCTTAACAATATCAAAACTTATTATGTATCCTAAATAACACTAAAAATGAACTATCCTAAACAATATTAAAACTTATTATGTATCCTAAGTAACACTTAAAATTAACTATCCTAAGCAATATTAAAATTTAATATCCATCCTAAATAACACTAAAACTTAGCTATCCTAAGCAATATTAAAACTAATTATATATCCTATATAACACTAAAAATGAATTCTCCTAAGCAATTTTAAAACTTAATAAGTTATCCTAAATAACACTAAAACTTAGCTATCCTAAACAATATTAAAACTAATTATATATCCTTTATAAAACTAAAAATTAGCTATCCTAAACAATATTAAAACTTAATAAGTTATCATAAATAACACTAAAAATTAGCTATCCTAAACAATATTAAAACTTAATAAGTTATCATAAATAACACTAAAAATTAGCTATCCTAAACAATATTAAAACTTAATAAGTTATCATAAATAACACTAAAAATTAGCTATCCTAAACAATATTAAAACTTAATAAGTTATCATAAATAACACTAAAAATTAGCTATCCTAAACAATATTAAAACTTAATAAGTTATCATAAATAACACTAAAAATTAGCTATCCTAAACAAT